ATAGAAACTAGCAGTAAATACCCGTTGCAATAACGGATTTGGCACATCAATTCATAGGATGGTAGGCTCCATTTATGTCCAAGTGTATTCCATACTTGTCCGAGTTTCTAGTCGTATAATTTACGAACTCAGTCGTTCTGAGTCTGCTGTCGTATAACTGTAGAGTATTTCATAACTATATTAGGATGCTTCCCCTAATGATGATATTGCTGCATTTGCAGTCTTATACGATACGATGCAACATTTAACAAACGATGATGAAAGCAATATAGACGTCGTAAGAAAGCTTTCAATGGCAGTAGCACAACATCGAAGTTGATCCCTGTTATCCTCTCATTGGGAAGCTATTTTAACTTGATGCTTCGTTATTTGCAATGCGTAATAGCTGAGCAACCTTTCCTCAGAGTATTCAGGTGTGGACAAGACAAAGTCGTTAGCAAAGTGTGAAATCTACCTTAAAATGTTAGTGATTGCAAAATTTCAAGACCAGCAATAGTTGTACAATCCTACTAAAGAGAAAAACACTTGTTTAATATATATCCAAGGTGGCCATTGGAGATATCAATACTCGTTTGAGTTCATCATTCCTTGGAAATCAATGAAATCTGGTTCTGTTATCCCGTCATTGCGAAGCCATTTTAGCTTGCTCCTCGAGTAACCTTTCCTCAGAGCATTCAGCTGTAGACAAGACAAAGTCGTTGACAGAGTGTGAAATCTGCCTTCAAAAATGTTAGTGATTGCAAAATATCAAGACTAGCAAGTAGCTGCACAATCGTACTACAGAGAAAAACAGTTGCTATATATCCAAGGTGGCTATTGGAAATTTGAAGTCTCGTTTGAGTTTACCCACCATTCCTTGGAAAGCAATGAAACATGTTTATGTTATCCTGTCATTGGGAAGCCATTTTAACTTGATGCTTGGTTGTCAGCAGTGCACTATACTGTAGTTTAGTCCGAGTACTCCATTCTAGATAAAACAAAATCAATACGTAGAAATCAG